TCTCTGGAATTCCTGCCATGTTGATGCATCCATTGGGCAATAAAACCATCCCACTGTGCTGTGTTGGAGACAATCACCCATCCAAGCAGCAGAAGCGGTGCTGTGAGACTTCCAAGAGTAACTATGGTAACCAGAGAAAATAAAATGCTATTTTCAAACTCTGGGCAGAAACTCTTTGTGGGAAGCCCTGGCTGATCCCAGCTGCCGGCTGAGCACTGAGCTCCAGGCACAGATGCCCCATGGAGGGAAGGATGGAGATCGGCCAACATGCAGCATGTGGTCCTGGACAGGACATGTCAGGGGAAGCTTTTTTCTGCACTGTCTCCTGGAGCTGAAGAAACTGTAGAAACAAGGATGATCTCCCAGTTGCATCCCCCCATGAGCATGGCTTGGAAAAGGGGAAGATCACAGGATTTATATAGGCCAGGACAGGAAAGTGAGAAGGCAATGGAATTGGATTAGGTTAGATGAGAATAGAATGGAAAAGAATGGGATAGGATAGAATTAAATATAATGAACTAGAATAGAACAGAATAGAACGGAACGGAAAGCTCCTAATTTGCCTCATCAAGAAGTCTAGTGTTAAGTAAGTGTCCCAGATGAGGAGTTAACAGCTCAGAGTGGACATCAGCTCATTGAGACCTAAGTAGAGCAAGAGGAACCTTGCTTGCAAACCACTGGAGATCCTGACCTCCTGGAGGTGGTGTCACCCCAGGGACGTGGGGAGCAGGGAGGAGCCAGGAAGCAGCACTCCCAGCCCTGCTGGCTCCAGCCATGTGATATTGGTGAGACAACCTAAAGTCACCCTTGGGCTGCACTGCGTGCTGTGGCACGCGATGCCACCAAGCACACACATGGAGCAGGGTTAGTCCAGCCCTAAATGAAAGGCAGAGTTGGAGATGACAAACCTGCAGTGACTGGTGGAAGCCTGGGAAGCACCTGCCTGGTGTGTGGAGGGCGGTGAGGGGGGAGAGCGCGAGTTGCTGTGGGAACAGTAATTTGGGTTCTTCTGCATATGGGTTTCTGGCTCTTTGCCTATGATGCTGCCTTCACCTCCCAGTTCACCGCTGGATTTTTTTCTCTCCTTTTATTCCTTCCCTGAAGAAGAAAGCATCCCTTCACCTCAGCCAGCAGAAGCAGCTCTGCCAGGAGAGCCTGGGGTGACCCTGCTGTGGAGTGGCACTGGGGCCATCCTGGGGGTTTGGATGGGGAGTAGCACACATGGGGGCAGAGCAACCTGGCTTTGGGGAGCAGGATGAGAGAGACCCCAGCAGAGTGGTGCCCATCACACCAGTGGCTGCACAGGTCAGGAGATCAGCTGCAGGAGCTGTTACTGATGGAAATACCAGGGGTTTAAACAGTGGGAGTGCAAAAGAGATTTAATAGCATGAAAATTATCAGAAGCCATGAAAATGATTTGAGGGTTCTGGAGCCAGGCTGAGAGAGCTGGGCTTTTTCAGCCTGGAGAAGAGAAGGCTCCTTAAGTGGAAACCTTAGAGCAGCTTCCAGTGCCTAAAGGGGCCACAAGAAACCTGGAGAGGGGCTTTGGACAAGGGCCTGTAGGGACAGGACAAGGGGGAATGGCTTTAATCTGACAGAGAGGAGATTGAGATGAGCTCTTAGGCAGAAGCTCTTCCCTGTGAGGGTGCTGAGGCGCTGGCACAGGGTGCCCAGAGAAGCTGTGGCTGTCCCATCCCTGGCAGTGTTCAAGGCCAGGTTGGATGGGGCTTAGAGCAACCTGGTCTAGTGGAAGGTGTCCCCACCCATGGCAGGTCGTTTGAACTGGTCTTGAGCTTTAAGGTCCCATCCAACCCAACCACTCCATGTTTCCATGACTATGAAATTACTCCTGTGGAACCCCTCAGCTCACCTGGCAGCTGGGCACCACAGGGATCCAGACAGGGTTGACACATGCTGTCACCAACATCCAAACGGTCCTTCCCCTCTGGTCCACCTGGGCTTCATACACCCTCATGTCCACCCACTCCCCTGTTACCTGGGACAACCAGCACGGCTCATCGGGCTCCACAGGAGGATGCTTTGGCACACTGTCCCTCTGTCAGTCACAGTCATAGAATCACAGAATCCCAGACTGGTTTGCACTGGAAGGGACCTTGAAGTTCATCCAGTTCCAACCCCCTGCCATGGGCAAGGACACCTTCCACTAAACTAGGTTGTTCCAAGTAGTCACTCCAGAGTGGTGGCAAGACCCTCAGGGTTTCAGCTTGCAGCCGCAGCGCTGGAGCAGGCTCCTGGCATCCCAGCTCCAAAGGGTGAAAGACGGAAGCTGGGCCCTGAGGGATCCCTGCTGCAGACACCACCGCTGCCACAACTCGTGAGCCCACAGCTACAGAAGGCTCTTTATTTGCTGGGGATGGCTGCCCAGCAGGACAGGGAGTTGACCCATTCCACAGCCGCCCTTAGGGCTTTGAAGCCCTCACCCAGTAGCATGTCAGCACCCATCACACAGCGGCTTCATGAATAAATCCTATGGGAGCAAATGACTGGGCTCATCCCTGCTGGCAGCCAGGATGCCCCTGTCACCCTCTGCCAGGTCCATGCAGGGACCCTTCACCACAGCCAGGTTGGACACAGTGTTTGGGGAGATCCTCTTGGTGAGGGCTGGCAGTGATGCAGCGGGGCAAAGCCTCAGCAGGCAGTGGCCTCACAGACCTTGATGTGACGGGTGGGATGAGGCACTGCCGGTCCCCGCACCCTCACCAGCCCAAACGTGGACAACTGCCAATGCCACCAACACTGAGGGATGGGAAATTCACCCAACTAGCAATTGTTCCAGACCCCTGGGGCAGGGATGGTCCCCACCCTGGTGAAAGGCTTCCTGACATTGGCTGGGGCTGCTGGAATCACTTATCAGCAGTAACAGCCACCTTTATAGCAACAATGACAGTTGCATGCTGACAAACTACCCTCCCCAGGGTGCAACACTGCAGGAAAAGCAGCATGGTGGTGGTGGAGATGGTAGTGGTGGCAATGATGGTGACAGTGGCAGTGATGCTGGTGCTGGTGATGCTGGTGGCAGTGGTGATGAGAGTGGCAGTGGTCACAGTGGCAGTGATGATGGTGACAGTTTAGCGATGGTGTGCTCCACACGTGGGGCCCACAGCCAATGCCCACCTCTGCCAGGACACATGACAGGGCCCTCCTCTGAGGCTGACCCCCAGCACTGCCCCACAGCTCTCTCCTCTCCACCCTCACCCTAACAACTCTGTGCTCACAGCCAGTCCCTGCCACAGGCCATGTGCCTGTACAGAACCTGCCCCGAGCCCATCTCCTCCATGGAGCCACGGTGTCCTGGTGCTGATGCCCAGTGAATTCACCACCGCTGCCTTTACAGCACTGGGGCTGCTTGTGCTCCCCTGGCAGGCAGGGGATCTGACAAGCAGGATTTAAACCCTGTTCTCCCCTTCCCTGTGAGCCTGGACAGAGCTGAGATGCCCAGAAGAGTCACAGCAGTGGGAAGGAGGCAGGTAGGAGATCTGATATTTCAGTTAATGAAGATGTCAGAAGATGGGCAGGATTTGTGGCATCAGCCAAAGCAGGCGCTGATAACTGCCCATGAGCATCCCAAATCCAGAATTAATACGAGTTTGTTCCTAGAGTACCCTGGGTCACTGAAATGGCACCAGTCATCCTTCTAGGACAGGCTGTAGTAGGATCTCTGGGAGGTTTCAGGCTGGGGTGGGCTCAGAGGGGGGTTGCCTGCATCCTTCCTGCAGCTGGGGGTGGGTGGCAGTGACCATGGTGGTGTGACTCTAGTTCAGACCCAGCCCAACCCTTCCCCTCGATACCTGGGGAAAGACAGACCAGAAGTACTGGCTGACACCTCGGGGTGCGGGAGACACACTGGGGTGAGGAGTGGGGAGACAGAGAGCACCTGGAGCAGACTCAGAAAGGAGATGGGGTGCAGAGGGCAAAGCCCCCAGAGGGGACCCCACGGAAGCCAGGCTCACGTGCACAGCTACACCCCTTCGGGTGCCCACGGCATCAGCACAGCACAGGGGACGGGGTACGTGGGGCACAACACAGACAGGGCACAGGGGATGTGGTATATGGCACACACCAAAGGGTCGTGGCACCTGGGCACAGGACAAGGCAACGGGACACAGCTCGTAGGAGGGAAGACACACAGTGGGGGTATGTCTGCAGGGGCGGGGGACACGGGCCGGGACCTGCCCGGGGAGGGTGGCTGGCGGGACTGAACCACCAGAGCGGAGAGGAGCGGAGGGCGAGCGGAGAGGAACAGACCGGAAAAGGCCGGGGCAGCCAACCGCCCCTGTCGCAACACGGGGCGCTGAGGGAGGAGCGGGTCCCACTCGTTCCCCGGGCCGAGGCCCACCATGGAAGCAGGGATTCGAGCTCATGCCATAGCAGAGTTACCGGACACTGCTTGGGACGAGCCCGGGAACCGTGGCTTACGGCTTATGGCACCGCAGTGCCCGGACACAGCCTAATCCCGGCTCGGAAGCACTCGCCGCCGCGGGGGCGTTGCTGCAACATGGACACGCCCCTTATGCTAATAAGCGCTGAATCACGCTCCGCATGCTGCGGCCGCTTGGCGGGACTGAACCACCCGGGCGGAGAGGAGAGGAGGGGAGGGGAGAGGAGCCGAGCCGAGCCGGGCCGGGGGGAGCCGGAGCGGCCAAGAGCCCCTGTCGCGACATGGGGCGCTGAGGGAGGAGCGGGTCCCGCTCGTTCCCGGGGCCGAGGCCCGCCGCGGGATTTGGGCACGGCGGGAGGGAAAAGGACATGGTGGGGAAGTCCCCCTCAGCCGCTCGCTCGTGGTGGCAGCCGAGGGCTGGACAGGCGGGGCGCTGGGGGAGGATCACGTGACGGGCGGGCCGCCGCCATTTTGTCCTGCGGAGGCAGTACTTAGGGTGCAGCGCCCGCGCCATAGCTGCTGTATCGGCACCAAGCTTCGACCATCTATCCGCCCCAGCTCCTCCTTCCTTCCTTCCTTCCTTCCTTCCTTCCCCCCCCGCCTCCGCCATTTCGTGACTGAGCTCTGCCCGCGGAGGACCGGCGCCGCGGCGGAGCCTCCCGCCTTTCCCCCCTCTTGCGCTCCTGCTACCAGCGGCGCCTCGCCTTGGTCCAGCCCGGCTCGCGCAGCCATGTCGTCCGGCTCCAGCCCCGAGTACGCTTCCTTCTTCGCCGTGATGGGCGCCTCGGCCGCCATGGTCTTTAGCGGTGAGCACCCGTCCGAACTCAGGGAAGAGGGTGTCGGGGTCTAGAGTGGAGTGGCGAAAGCGATGGGGTCTTGCGGGGAGGGACACCGCTTTCCCTTTCCTCCCGGCCCCCCGGCGGGGTGAGATCGCCGGTGCTGGGCCCGGAGCCCTGGCCTCGGGGCGGAGGCGTCCACGAGGATCGCCCCCTCCGGCTCTCCATCCGGGCTACCGGGGCGCGGGTCTGCCCGGGTGACGTCATCGCGGCGCGTACCGCTGGCGGAGCCACCCCTCCGCCCCGTGACTGCGGCGGCGCCGCCCGGACCGGCCCCTCGGGAGCTGCCGTGACCACCCCCGCACCCCCATTCGTGCCCCCCGCCCGCGCTCATCCGCCGTACGGGGAGCCGGGGGCCGGCGTGGGGCGCAGCGGCGGCAGCCCTGCCGTGGTCGTCCGTGGGGACAGCCGCTGCACCTTCCCGGGCAGGCAAAGTCCGGTCTGGCTCCCGCTGTACAGTCGCTTTGTGAAGTATTCCTCGGGTAATGCGAGACTGGTTTCTAATGGCATTGAAACCGGAATGTGCAGGTGTTTTAAGAATGAAGTCAATGTTAGAAATGGTAATGGTGTTACAATGAACAGGTAGGCTCCTGGCCTTCCCTTTATGACGGGAAACTTTGAAATGCTGGAGAGGGGAAGCTCCTCTCTAGTGGCCATCGTCTGCATCTGAAGTCACTGAGCTTTGTCGCAGAGTAAACTGGGTCATCCTGCAGTATCCTGCTCACCCTGTTGAGGATCACTTATGCCATTTTACAGCAGAAAGACCATTATATGGTGCCTCGTCTCCCTCTTGCAGCCTGTGCAAGCCTTCTGCAGAAAACCCCTGCTGTTCCTGACTCACTGTGGCCCCATAGGTGCAGAGCTACTGTTCTGTTTAGGATGTAACATGGGAAGGCTTCAGCTAGTTTTTTTTTCCCCAATGCAAGTCTTGCAGTAACTATGAATAGCAGAACAGGGAATCATGGAATCACAGATGGTTTGGGTTGGAAGGGACCTTAAAGCTCATCCAGTTCTAACCCCCTGCTACCTTCTGCTAGACCAGGTTGCCCCAAGCCCCATCCAGCTTGGAATTGATCTGGTTATCTCTTCTGAAGATTTATCCAGTGTTTCTGTGCATAAGCACACTGACTTGGCTTCATCTGATATATAATTTGGCTTCCAGTTGAGGATTCAGAGCATGCAAGTGTTGAATTGGCTGTGGCTCAAGTTGCATATGGCTGTTGGTGTGCCTGGAGTCTCATTAGGTTGAAGTAGCCTCCGAGATGGTAGCTAAGAATGCAAGGGAAGTTTGTGGAAGCTGCTCTTGATTGATCAGTGTGGTAAATTAAATTGTGTAAATGGCTGAGTAGACAGTGGATTAAAACTGGTGTTTTGGAGGAAGCAGTCTAGCTCTGCTGGGGTTGGCACCACTCACTGGTTTCACACCAGCTGCGTTCATGGCTTTAATATTTAAAATGAAAGCATAAAACCAACCCCGATTGGCTGTGTTTAGTCTTGCTCAGGTTCTACCTAGTGGTGGGATACAGATGTCCTGTGCTGGGGGCAGTTAGTGGCCTGCCATCTCAGAGTTCAAACACTGCACTTGCAGTCCCTTGACAGCTAGGGACTCCCCTGAAAACAGGATGGCTGGGATGCTGCAGGAACCAGTGTTGGGGCTACAGGCCTGCCTGTCTCTTGGCTAATGAAGATAGTGGAGGACTAGACTAAGGCCTAGTTGCTTCTTCCAAAGAAACAGTCAGCAGATAACTACCTCTTGCAAAATAGCAGTGATTAAGGTCCTAAATACTGAGCTTCCTTCCTGAGGAGGAAGCCACTAGATTCCTTTAGCAAAGCTGAGCTCAGAAGCAAAAGAACATGGCTGCATGGCCTTTCAGATGCTGGTTCTGTGATTTGCAGGCTTGCTTCAGTCCGTCAATGAGGGATGCAAACTTGAGTCAGCATTTTAATAGAAGAGTGTTGCTTGGCATGGCTCAACTTGAAGCAAGGTGTTTCCTGAGAGCTTAGCATGGTTTTTAGCATGATGAATGGGTTTGATAGCACAGTACCGTGAGGCTGCAAGTTAAAGGGAAAGGGTTTGGGTGAGTGCTTAAGTTGTATTGGTGAAGGGTTTGGTAACTCTTCTGTCACAGCTGATAAATGACTGGTCCTTGATGTGGAATCATAGAATCACGGAACAGTTAGGGTTGGAAAGGACCTCTAAGATCATTTAGTTCCAAAGCCATGCCATGGGCAGGGGTATTGCAGACCAGACCATGTCATCAAAGACTGTCCAATCTGTGGCAGGTGGTTTAACACCAGCAGGTTTGAGCCATAAAATTAGTCTCCTGCTAGGGCCTAAGTGCATCTGATGGGTTCAGTCACTGGGCAACAGGTTATAGATACTGCTGATGCAGAATTATGTGAACATACTGAACTGCTTAAATGAAGCAGCTTGGGTTTTTAAGGCAATATGGCAGATGTATCAGTGTAACATAAACTAAAACTTGCAGTGTCATGTAGCTCCCCTAATAGTGGTGTGACACTATGGAGTGTTCTAATGCTAATTTAACATTTTGTGTTAAAAAACCCACCCTGATTTAGAATAAGGAGCAAAGTCTGGCCAACGAGTGTGACAGTGTCTAAAATTGTTTGAGATCAGTGTTAGTGCACTGATATGCCTGACTCATGCTGTATCTAAAGATCAGGTTCTGATGGAGCTTGTAGTTCTGAGTGCTGTTTCTAGTAAACATGTTTAAGTTCAATACTGTCCAGGCTAGTTTGATGTGAAAACAAGTGACTTTATGCAGTACTGTTCAATGTTTGAACATTAACTGCTGATGGTAAATAGATACTGGAACTTGTTCCAGTCAGCTAGTACTGATGACAGCTAGAAGGACTGAAGCAGGCTGCTGTGACCTTGGCTGTCTCTGTGTCCGCTTATTTATTTGCGGATATAGCCTGTTCTGATAGCTAAAGTTCCTGTATTTCCTATGTGTAAAACATGTGGCTGGCTCAGTGTCAAGTGCTGTTGAGTGATCAAATTGTTGCAGCTTTTCCATGCGACTGCAGTGTGCCAAATGGAGAAGTGTGGTGCTGGGCGGAGCTGCCTGACAGCTCTGCTGCAGAGCTGTGCCAGGCAAACCCCACTGTGGCCTGTGGTGGGGTGAGGAGTTTACTTAGACCTGTGCTCTGGATGGGCATTCAGTGCCTTCTGTACTGTTTCACTGTCAAGCATCTGGAAGACCGCTAAGGAAGAGAACTCTAGCCAGCAGTGCTGAGATTAGTCCTCTCTCTTTTTTGATGCAGATCTAATGAAATAATACTTTTTTCTTTTAGACTAGGGCTGCAGATACTGTAGCAGCTGTTTAGCTAATAAAGGACCTCCATGGTGAAACTGCTGGCTCAGAACATTTAGCTTGATGCAGCCAGCAGCCTTGTGCAGTCTGATTCTAGAAGGCATCGTGATGGTAAACAACTTGCAGCCTTAAAGGCAAATGACATGTGCTTCCTGAAATACTGTCTCTTGAGGGGTGAGGAGGAGGTAGAGAGGAGAGCTGCTTGTTTTACATCCTTATAGGATGTAGACCACATCTGAAAAAGTCTGCAGCTTCCTTAACTGTAACTTGCAAGTGGAAATGTTGGCAGAATGGTGTAGCTCAAGGTAGTATTCTGATCCAAATCATTGAGTGCTTCAAAGACACTGTTGTGTGGGCAGGAAAACTCAGTGGGTCAGATGTTTTTGCTACCAGACTGGCTGGAGAACTGTTAGAGGCAATATCCAAGTCGAGTGCAGTCATTTACTGTAGTGACAGGACAAGGGGTAATGTGTTAAAACTTAAACAGGGAAAGTTTAGATTGGATATAAGGAGGAAATTCTTTCCTGTTAGGGTGGTGAGGCACTGGAATGGGCTGCTCAGGGAGGTTGTGAATGCTCCATCCCTGGCAGTGTTCAAGGCCAGGTTGGACGAAGCCTTGGGTGAGATGGTTTAGTGTGAGGTGCCCCTGCCCATGGCAGGGGGGTTGGAACTAGATGATCTTAAAGTCCTTTCCAACCCTAACTATTCTATGATTCTATTCTATGACTGCTTTGCTATGCCAGAAATCTGAGCATTTTTCAAGAAACGGGCTGCTCCCCACTGGTGTTCTAAGGTCTCGCCAACCGCACCAAACACAAACGCAGCTCTGCCTCAGATGACGGTAATGGGTATGCCACAGCTGCCTTGGAAGAACCCTGCTGCTATGCCCAGTTGCACCTCCACAGGAGAGAGACAACCACATCAGTGGAACTGTATACGGAGCCTATGCAAATTCAGACCACGCTGACTGAAGTCCCACAGTGAGGAGGGGGTAAAGCAGATAAGCTGCCTTTCAGGAAGCTGGAAATCTTTGAGACACCTGTGCCAGGCCACAGGACAGCATGCTTTTGGCTCTTCCCTCATGTTATGAGGGTGTGAGGGGTTCAAACAAGCCCTGCACTCCATTTCGGTGAACTGGAGAACAAAGCCTGCTAGCTCTTCAGGAAGCTGCTGCAACAGCAGCAATCCAAAGTGTTACCAGTCAAGTGTTCAAGCAGCTGGGGCTACTGCAACTGGTGCAACATAGCACATGAAGTCACTTATTTTTAAAAGCATGTTAAGGCTGCACTTTACAAGTGGCAAGTACAAGTGAACAGGGGTGAACAGGTGCTGAGGTGAGTTGATGCCTGCTGTGCAGGGATCAGTCCATTTGATAACGGATTAATTACAAAATAGTCCAGGTGTAAGTACTTGTCAAGAATGTACTTTCTGTGATGGTAACCCATGGTATCTTAACTGAAACTTTGGCTTGTTACCAACTCACTTCCTGATGCTGGGAGATTCAGCATATTAGTACCCTGGAAGTCTTTCACTCATTGCAGTGTGAAAACCTCCTCTTCCTCCATGATGGGGCACAGGAGGAATCACTGGCTCTGAATGGACCAAATGCTGTCAGAGTGTATGTGACTAGTTCTGAACCTCTGTGTTCCTGGGCTGAAAATGTCTGAATGGATTGAAACTACATCTGTGCATATAGCTCCCTGGCCCCTGATGTGGTCACTATCTGGAGGTGCACATCTGCCTGTAGAGCTTTTTGTAGTGTGGATGCAAGGCTTTGGTAACAGCCTCTCTGTACTGGGGAAGTGACACGTGAGTGACTTGCAGTGAACTTAGCTGCAAGATTAAAGTTCTCGGTGCATGACTTTACCGGGGACTAGCTACAGCCATGAAAGATTGGTCCTAATGCTAGCACTTGATATAAACAGTAGACTGCTCAAGTGCTGAAATTATCAGAGGCAAAGCTCTACTGAAAGTCCTGGCAGTGGCAAGACTACAAGTAGTCTTCAGTCCTTACTGAAGCCTACATGGCAAATTACTTTCTAGTTCATATTGGAGCTGTACAGCTATACTACCTCTGCTGCCACTTGTGACTAACAGAGGGTAACTGCCATGAGAGGCACCAGTCAGCCCATCCACAGCCCAGAGGGAGTGTGTTTTGCTCCCAGGAGCAGTACTAAAGCAACTCCGCCTTCTGAGCTCAAAGTTACTCTGCAGCGGTATTTCAGACCTTTGAAACAGGCTTACTGAGAGTAGGTGGTCTTGAATGATGTGTGAAGCAACTTCTCTGTACTGTAACACCACTGAACTGCTAAATGGCACAGTTCCTGGCCATAGACTGAGACAGCTTCCCTCTGTGATACAGCAAAATAGGCAACATGCTTTTCCAGATGCCAGGTGGATGTTTTGATGGCTCTGTGTGCTTTAAATGTTGCAGCTATATTTGTCTGTATGTTTGAAGTGGAGCTGTATGATACATGTAGTCTTGGTACAGCTCTTATTCCATTCTTGCTGTCTTCTGCATAGATCTCTTCAAACCCTGTTCACTGAGAAGATTTTGGAAAACATGCCTTTCCATCTGATTTTGGGTCTTTAGATGTAGCACATGTGCTTCAAATGTTCACAGCTGCGAAGAGGTATGAGTTGGGATGTGCAGGAGGATTGACCCAGGTGCTTGACAACTGTGACATTAGATGCTTGGGTCATGATGGGAAGGGGACATTGTAGCACTGGGGTGGAAGGAGAACTTCTCAGGCTAGTGAAGTGCAGTAAGACATGCTGCCTTGTAAGATGGTGAGATGCGGCTGCAGGCGACCCAGGATAAGCGTGTTGGTCAGGATGCTGATAAAGAGTTCATGGGAGCAGATGTGCCAAGCTCTGGAGCTGCTTGTGTAGCACTTGTGACTGTCAGCTGAACAGTGGGAGTGTAATAGGTCTTCAGTGCCATCTGAAACTGTCTTGTGAAAACTAGCTGCCACAAACTCTATGTAGACTTGATCTGTTCATGTTTCCAGACCAAGTTTGAGGCATAAGCTCTTCCCTGGTCCCTAGAATTGGGACTTAACAATGGGGAATTGACAAACTTGTGCTGCTCCACCCCTCCCAAAACCTTGAGCAGGCTGGCCTTCCATACATGGGGTTACAAAATCGGCTTCTGTAATCCATCAGGGTTAATTGCAGCACCTTTAACTGCAGACCAGGAGGAAGTAATGACTGATCTAATTTTAAATAGTGAACTTCCTCATGAGCCTCTGTTCCTGGAGAGGTTTATGGAAGGTGAGAAGTGGATTCTGCTAGATGCTACAGCCAGTCTAGGAGTCCAGATTGCCTGAATCTTGATTCTACCTAATTCCAGTCCTTGGAAGATGCTTCCAAGAAGAAAAGGTTCCTAATTCAAGTTAGTCATTTCTTTCTAGTTTTCCTAGGGCTGGACCCTTAAGCGGGACCATCACTGGTAATTGCTGGCTAAGTCTGTGTGCTGGTTTCCAGGCTCAGCTTGCATTTGCAGGTAAAACCTCTCCTCTGCTCTTGGCTCAGGCTTCCTGCCAAACTGGATTCTGGTTCTGAATGGCACTGAACAGCCCTTTACACCTGGCTCAGTGACAGGGTTCAAGAGCTTTTCTAGAACAGAACCAGTTTGTAGCTAATAATGAGGCTTCCCTTTCAAGCTCTTACAACTAAAACTGAGCTTTGGATGGTGAGTCTTGTGTTAGTGCAGAGGTGATACCTTTGTTAATCTTCTGCAGTTTCTTGGTGGAAAGCCAGGAGGATTACCCCCACTCTTGACTGCTCAAAGACAGGCTTTATGTAAATGCTGAGCAGGAAACAGGAAACCCTTATCCAAAACCCTCTGAATGCCTCCCAGCAACCTTTTGGTCAAGGTGCCCCATCACACATTTGGATGCTGCTGTAAGGCAGCCACAGATCTTTGTGGAACAAGCAGCTCTCCTTTGTAGGAACCATAGTTAAGTGGGGTGGAACAAACTCAAATAGTAGGTCTCTGAGCAGTAAAAATATGTGAAATGCATGTAGTCTTAATAATCTCCAGTAGCCTTTTAGAGCAGGCCAAGAGCATTTTCATGCTAAATAGGACTATCAGCATGGTGGTGTGCGAAAAGAAGATGAGCCCTCCCCAGACGTTGCAGTGCTACTAGTCCTGGATGGTGCGGACCTGCGTAGCATCTCCTGGGTGATGGTGGGTGCAGTCCAAAGTTAAGGAGTTCCTTGAGTAATCCAGAACAGGTTGGAAGGAAAGGGGTCTTTTCAAGTACTTCAGAATCAAAGAATGATTTATTTGTGGAAGTTCTTAATACAAAGCTTTCAAGACATAAGTTACTTTTTGTGGTAGTGCTTTGGGACTTCTGGCAGGTCTCAAGGAGGTGCTAAGCCCATATTCTGCTTTGGAAACCAAGCTTTGGATTCCTATGTTGGTCTTGCCATGCTCAAGTGTTTACACAGGTGATAAGCAAACCTTAGGGGGAGGGTGGTTGTGGTCCACTATAACTTACGAGCCATACTCTGTGGTTCCAGTGGTGGGGTTAGCAAGTGGTTGGACTTGAATGCTCCACAGATGAGGCTATGAACACATGGAGAAGGTATAGGTTGTCCAAGGAATGAAGTGCAGCAGTAATATATGACTGTTGGGTTTGCTTGGCAAGGTTTTGGTAGCGGCAGAGCTACAGGCCTGGCTTCTGTGGCAAGCTACTAGAAGCTTCCCCTGTGTCTCATGGAGCCAAGGCTAGCTGGCTCCAAAACAGACCCACTGCTGGCCAAGGCTGAGTCCATCAGCAGTGGTGGCAGCTTCTCTGGGATAAGGTATTTAAGAAGGGGGGACATGCAACAGCAATTTCAGCCAGAGAGGAGTGAGAAAGAGAGAAACGACTCTGCAGACACCCAGGACAATCAAGGAAGGGAGGAGGTACTCTAGGCACCAGGGCAGGGATCCCCCTGCAGCCTGTGGTGAGGCAGGCTGTTCCCCTGCAGCCCATGGAGGTCCCCATGCCAGAGCAGGGAAATGCCCAAGGAGGCTATGACTCCAAGAGAAACCCACACTGGAGCCATCTGTTCCTGAAGGTCTGCAGCCTGTGGGAGGGACCCCAGCTGGAGTAGTTCACAGAGAACTGCAGCCCATGCAAAGGACTCAGGCTGGAGCACTTCATGGAGAACTGTCTTCTGTGGAGCAGTGGGGGTTGAAGATCCTTCCCACTGAGGAGGAAGTAGCAGAAGAAACACTGTGTGATGAACTGACCACAGCCCTCCATTCCCTATACCCCTGTGCTGCTGGCAGGGAGGAAGTAGAGAAACTGGGAGTGGTGTTAAGCCTGGGAAAGAGGGATGGGGGAAGATGTTTTAAGATCTAGTTTTATTTCTCATTAGCCTATTCTGATTTGATAATTTTCCCTGAGTCTTGTTTGCCTCTGGTAGTTGGTGAGTGAGCTCTCCTTCATTCTCCTGGCCTTTCACATTTTCTCTCCCCTGTCCTGCTGAGAAGGAGGTGTGACAGAGCAGCTTTTAGGGGCACCTTGTGTCCAGCCAGGGTCAACCTACCCATGGTGAGTTTGTAGCTATCTTTGTATGTCTGCTAAACCTAACATTGTGTGTTTAACCCCAGGCTGAAGCATAGGCAGAGAGCTTTGTGGGGAGTGCCCATGAAGTTGACTTGTTAAATTATTGAGTGCATCTGAGAACTCAGCCCAAGTGGCTCAAAGTTCAGTGACTCTAAACCTGCTTTCAGCTGGGTTATGTTCTGCTCTGCTGTGTTGCTCTGGGTCCATGGGTAGAGCTTTGGTGGTGTTGGCTCTGTAAGGGCACAAACCCTTAAGAAATGAGTTTGGATTTGGACCATGGGGTTTTGTCTCCCAAAGCAGGGAGTGGAGATCTGCTGTGGGGTGTACCCTGCAGCAGACCTGGCTTGAAGAATGTATCCCTTTAGATATATTCTCTAAGTAGTGTTTGAACCGCGCCTTTTATTGGCCTGGCCTTGCTCTGAGACTCTGGACTCTCACTTCTTCATCCTGTGGGGGAATGTTCCTGGCTGATAACTGAATCATGTGGCTGCACTAGTTTTGCACAGTTCCTCCTTGTGCTGACCTGATTGTTGTGATGCTGCAGCCTAATGAGGGATGTAATAGTTGAGGATGTCTAACACACTTTTTCTCTTCCAGCCTTGGGAGCTGCATATGGGACAGCAAAGAGCGGCACAGGTATCGCAGCCATGTCTGTCATGAGGCCTGAGCTCATCATGAAGTCCATCATCCCTGTAGTCATGGCGGGTATTATAGCGATCTATGGCCTCGTTGTGGCTGTACTCATCGCCAATGCACTCTCACCTTCCATCACGCTATTCAAGTAAGTTGCTGCGTCTTGTCAGTTCTGCTTTGGTGGTTCTGTCAGTAGTTTGTTTCTGCTGAATGGGTGGGTTTTGCTCGACCCTTGGAACGGGTCAGTGCTAAATGCTCCTAACCTGGGCTGAGGAATATGGACTCTATCAGCTGTCCTGCTTGATGCCTTAGCCTCAGTAGTAGTGTTGCAGTGTTAGCTGGCAGGTCAGACATCCCACAGCAGGAGACCATGCAGTGATTTGTAGCTTGAAAGAGCCTGTGTACAGGTAGAACTGGGATAGGCTACACTTGTTTCATGGTGCCAGATCCTAGACCTGGAAAACACGGGTCTTTCTAGGACTGTCTAATCAGACTAAGTAGTTCTGTTGCCTGGGAGATGCAGTTGAAGAATTAATACTGCTTGCTACTTTATGTGGTGGTAAGTCAATCCTCAAGCCATACATCAGGCCTCTATACTAGGTACAGTCTGAAACTTAATCCTGGCTTGGCTTCTGAGAACAGCTGGAACTGGCTTGATTGAGACCTCTCAGAATAAAACAATGCTTCTGAGGCCTAACTGTAGACATCTGGCTGTGTTACTACATGTTGTAGTTGATAAGCAGTGTGGTTGGCCTAATAAGCCATGTTCTAAAAAACAAGGGGCAAGTGCTCCTTTTGCAGTTACCAGGAGGTCAGATACTGATAGGGATTGCTCTTCAGGTACTCCTGCCTGGAAAACCAGACCATGCCTGTCTATGCAGTGCAAGAGCCCTAATGATCACCTGGATGTGCTGTATAATAAGGTTGCTAAAGGTGGGAGACACCCAGCTATTAACAGGCTGCACCACCTTGTAGGACAGGCATTACCGCATATGAAGCCTGCAACTGACCAGAGTGGCTACAGATGAGCTGGAGGGCCACGGGAGCTGCGGGTGCAGTAGCTGAGCTTGATGTATGAGCCACAGCTGAGTATCAGTTGAAGATCTCGCATAGCTGCCTAGGGTTTCTTAAGCATCAGAGGTAGGAGTCTCTGCTTTGTGAGACATACTGTGCTTGCTTCAAGAGTGGAGAGCCTCTTTCCTGTGGAAAGAGCTTCTAGTTAAATATTAAACCTTAATTCTTTTGGGGAAAGCAAAAAAAACAAAGGCTGGTCTGAAGCTAAAGGGTTGGGTGTCCTGTTGCTTACCACTGAAACTCTTCATCTTGTCCCATAGGAGCTTTCTTCAGCTGGGTGCTGGCTTGAGTGTGGGCCTCAGTGGCCTGGCTGCTGGCTTTGCCATCGGCATTGTGGGTGACGCAGGCGTCCGGGGGACAGCACAGCAGCCCAGGTTATTTGTGGGCATGATCCTCATCCTGATCTTCGCTGAAGTCTTGGGGCTCTATGGCCTCATTGTTGCCCTTATCCTCTCCACAAAGTAAACGTTGCAGTATGATGTAAAGAGATGTAACAAATCCGCATTTCAAACAAAAAGCTCCAGAATGAAAATGGTCTCTCCAATGTGTACAGTTGTCCCAATTTGGTAGTTGATCTCATGTAAATGCGCAATGTACGTTAGTGACTTGTCTGTCCTCTGTGTACTTCAATATTAAATTGAATGGGCTGCCCCAAGCCTGCTGTGTGGCTTGGGGTGGCCTGTGTGCAATTTTCCACCCACTGCTGTTAGTACTTTATGTATAAATATGAACTAGAAATGTAATTTTTCTCTTCACTGGATGTTTATTTATAAAAGACTTGACATGTTCATACATCTATGGAGCAAGTGTTTTCAATTTCCCATGCTATATATATTAATCTTATATATAGGTAGATTACACTGTGGGGTCAATTGTAAGTGCAGAGAATTCCTTTGGATGTAACTTTTGATTCTAAAGATTGCTGTAGTGTCCTGATATTGGAGTATGAGAATCTCGTGTTTTATTACAGCAGTTGTCTGAAACACTCCTGTGTTTCGGTAGTAACAGCGTATGCTCCAGCATCACAGTTGTGCACCCAGTGTTGGGTTACGAACTTAAACCATGTTTCCAAATAAAACTTCCTCACTACACTGCTGTAATTAGTCCTGCCTCTGATTTTGGTTGTTTTTTTTTCTGCTCCTCTAGGAAGAGGAGGGAAGGGCTCCCTTAGGGGGAGGCAGGTTCTTGCGGTGACGGGGCACCAGCAGAAGTGATGCTTTCATTGCTGCTAACCTAGCCCCTCTTTCTCTGCTGTTCCCAGCTGCTGCCCATGGGCAGTGCTGTGGGAAGCAGGAATGCCAGGGACTGGGCTCACTGTGATTAAGTGGTGAGTTGTGGTAATGCCCTGTTAATGGGCTGTGCAGCATGGCCTGAGCAGACTGGTGCAGGCTTCAGCAAGTGACAAGGCACAGGAGCTGCTGAAGAGCCATCAGGCACTTGTCTTTGTGATGGCTCTGCAGAAAATTGGCTGGCTTGGAAAGCTGCTCTGTTGACAGCAACTGCCTGTGAAGTACCTGATCAATACATTCATCAACAAAATGGGTGCATTCAAGAACTCCTATTTTTAACTTGTAAATCAGGAGCATTTGAGCTGGTTTCTTTAGCAGCTACTGAATGCTGTGGCAACTCCCCTTGTCCTGAGATCCATGAGTGGTGCAAAGCAATGCAATGCTGAAGCTCATAGAGGAAGAGCACTAGACCTTGTTGCAGTAAACCTGGCTTTGGGGTGGGCTGTACTGCTGGTTTTATGTTCCAAAGGGGCTTTTCCTGGCAGTCAGCAGTGGTGGTGCCTGGGCTGTATAGAGGTGTAAGCTGATTTAAGGAAAATTCCAGATATCTGCTGAAGCCTTGCATGGGGAATGGGGGGGCTGGGGATGTAACATTCCTGATCTGAATTATCTTGGTCATTCCAATTCAGAAGCTGAATCTGCTACTTTTGCTAAAGGAAAGGTTTTACCCAAGGGTTATAAACATTTAGGAAAACTACAACATAATTCTCTCAGCACTGATTACAGTGAGTGCTTTTTCAGGGCTGCTGTGTGGAGCTGATGGAGCTTGCAGCTGGGAGGGTGTGAATCGGTATGTGCCACAGGCGTCCTGCAGTTGTGAAAGGAATTCTATGGTGTTTGTGTAGCAGGACAGAAGGTCCTGGCTGAGGCTGTAAATATGTTTAAGGTCTGGCTGTACCTTCTTTAAAAGGAGAGCCTACTGCCAGCCTTGTTTCTTGCCAATTTACAAGAATGTGAGCAAACTACATTTAAGAGAGAGCAACTAAATGCTGGTAGTAGCTCTCATCTCTAAGAGAAATAAGCAACCTGACTGTAGGAACTCTTAATTTCCCATTGTCACTTGGTGACACTTGCAGAAGGCTGTTAGGAGGCTTAGGATGGATATGGATGGACACTGATGTCACCAAACATGGGCAAGAGGCAAGATCCCATTGATTTTGGTTCATGCCTTGGAGCATCAAGCCTTTACTGATGCATAAACCCATGCAAGTCAGTATGAGCAGAAGCTGGGGTTAGTGTGCATAGGTGGGGGATTGCTTTCTCCTGAGTGCACATACACTGGGAGCAAAGTTAACAGTTTTAGTGTGTTGCCTAAGCCAAGCATTTTTATGGGCAGTAATGTTCCAGTTCCTAATTGATGACTCCTAGGTGAAAACTTGCATTTCAAGTCTTTCACCGATGCTGTTGCATCAGCAGATTTCTCCAGTATTCAGGTCACTAAGAAAATTGCAGACCTTTGGTCCCTTTCCTTAGGCAGGAGCACACTAGATTTGAGCACAGTCCCATCTGGCAGGGATTGACCTGTGATTTGGTTAGAAAGAAGAGAAAAGGCAGCCTGCAATGACAGACTCCTAGTGCCTGATTAAAAGAGGTGCTGTCTGCTGGCACATAAATAGTGCTCTGTAATGTGGCAGATTGTGCCTGTGAGTGTGCATTGCAGAGTGAGTCAGCTGTGCGGAGGGAAGGGAGCAGCTCTGCAGCAGCAGCTCCATGTCCATTAGCAGGTGGTTCAGGCTCAGTAAGGTTAAGGGACGCTGCTGCCGGATGCTGCCTGCATGGACAATGCCTTCATAGGGCTGCTGACTTTTCTCTTACTGGTTTGCTGTTGGTTGGCGTATTTTTTCCTCCCAAAGGCTACAGATTTTTCCTTTTCTTTTTCACTGCTCTGGTGGAGAAAGCGTTCTTAAGCAGTAGGATTTTATGTATGATTGCTCAGGGATTGTCTTTCCTTGGGAGGCCCGGTTTAAGAGAAGTTTAGTAACCTGAAAAAGGAAGCAAGCTTTGAGGAAATAAAAACCTCCTTAGGAGAAAATAATCCCAGAAACTAATGTGCTGTTATAAACTACAACAAGGTAACAGCAAATCTAATGGAAAGAACCCTCAACAAACCTTGTTTCCTTTTCAGTCTTGATGCGCGGATAGACTCCACAACTCGTTAAAGTTGTAAAGTAGGTATGCTTTATTAAGCGCTGAGGTGCATGGGTGATAACTCCTCCAAAAGCATGCGCACTTCAGCATTGTTTCCCCTTTACATTTATCCTCTAAAGTTATACATATGCATGAGCTTGCACAACACACCTATGCATATTCATGTCCTATTCCCGCTTCGTATTATAATGAGCTAAGAAGTCCTTTGTGCCTGCGCAGTGCCTCCTAGTGGTCGTGAGCGAGGGTCTCAAGATGAAGTAAATGAGTCTTCCTCAAGCCTAAACTTTTCACCTCTGGTCATTACGCATGCTCCCTGGAGGCTTGGTCTTTGTCCAAAGCGCAGAGTTAATTTCAGCCAGCCTAGGCGTCCAAAGGACTGGAATCAAGTCACGGTCCCTACTTCTTAACAATAGCTATGTCCTTATATCTAGTTCTAGCACACACGGAGGTGTCCGAAGGACGGCAATCAAGACACGGTCCCTACTTCTTGACAATAGCTCTGTCCTTATATCTTGTCCTGGCATAATCATGAGTGAGCAATGATATTGTTAAGCAAGGGTCCTGATCTATCCCCTTGTACATTGCAAGTATGATAAGCATGAGCAAGCAGTAACATTGTTAAGTAAGCAGTTTGACCTATCCGCTTGTACATTGCAAATACCATGTACAATAAGCATGAGCAAGCAGTAACATTGTTAAGCAAGCGGCTCAACCCTAACCCCCCTGTATATTTGTTAACCCTTTTCATCAGTCTGACCATGGGGATATTGATTTCATGGCTTTGTGCTGTTTCCATCCAGCCTGACTGTAGAAACCATCACTGTTCTCAGGTGGGAATTACCTCTGATGAACAGGAGTTGCCACCTTTGCTCTTCATGTATCTTTCTCCTATACAGGTATTAACCATTTTTTTCTCTTGACATAATTAAATCAAACCCAGATAAAGTCTTCCCAGTGCCACTTACCCTGGAGCGGGAATTTTCTGTTTCAGGATCCAAGGATTGTGTCCTGAAAAGCATCTCCATTTTTGTTCCTGTTACTCACTAATGAAGGCTGTTCCTTTTCTCTGCAAGCCATGCTTTATTTAGCTTCTGAGACAGTCACGGCTTTGTCACTTTTATCACTGAGTTTCTGTGGAGCTAATTTTTTATCCCAGCACCAAAGCACACAGGAAACTTCCTCCCAAACATCACAATGTGTAAGGCCCGAAGCCTTCATGGGGACCACACTTCAGGCTCCCGAGTGCCTCCCACAGGGTATCTACAGGCACTGACAGATCACACTGCTCCACTGGGAGCAGGAGAGCAGGACAAGTTCCCTGGAGAATAAATGGCTCACGTTTACTATCTTCCTTTTGATGACAGGACAGGGCTTCCTTTTACACTCACCACAGGCTCAAGACTGGGCTTCGGGATTTACCAAGGGGATCCATGTGGCTGTTTCAGTCCCGGGCCCTTTTTTGGCACCTTGAACTGTCCGGTCCATGCTGTTCAATCTTCACTTTCCTTCTTTGCCTTTGGGAGAGGGAAAAGAGGTGACCTCAGGAGGCAGAGAGCAAATACCGCCACCTACACCTGATGCCTTTGGCTACCTGAGGTAGAATAGAATCATAGAACAGTTAGGGTTGGAAAGGACCTTAAGATCATCTAGTTCCAACTCCCCTGCCATGGGCAGGGACACCTCACGCTAAACCATCTCACCCAAGGCTTCATCCAACCTGGCCTTGAACACTGCCAGGGATGGAGCATTCACAACCTCCCTGGGCAACCAATTCCAGTGCCTCACCACCCTAACAGGAAAGAATTTCCTCCTTATATCCAATCTAAACTTCCCCTGTTTAAGTTTTAACCCATTACCCCTTGTCCTGTCACTACAGTCCCTAATGAAGAGTCCCTCCCCAGCATCCCTATAGGCCCCCTTCAGATACTGGAAGGCTGCTGTGAGGTCTCCACGCAGCCTTCTCTTCTCCAGGCTGAACAGCCCCAACTTTCTCAGCCTATCTTCATACAGGAGGTGCTCCAGTCCCCTGATCATCCTCGTGGCCCTCCTCTGGACTTGTTCCAACAGTTCCACGTCCTTTTTATGTTGAGGACACCAGAACTGCACACAATACTCCAAGTGAGGTCTCGTGAGAGCAGAGCAGAGGGGCAGGATCACCTCCTTCGACCTGCTGGTCACACTCCTTTTGATGCAGCCCAGGATACAGTTGGCTTTCTGGGCTGCAAGCGCACTCTGAAGCCGGCTCATGTTCATTTTCTCATCGACCAATACCCCCAGGTCCTTCTCCGCAGGGCTGCTCTGAATCTCTTCTCTGCCCAACCTGTAGCTGTGCTTGGGATTGCTCCAACCCAGCTGTAGGACCTTGCACTTGGCATGGTTAAACTTAATCAGGTTGGCATCAGCCCACCTCACAAGCGTATCAAGGTCCCTCTGGATGGCATTCCTTCCCTCCAGCGTTTCAAGTGAACTACACATCTTGGTGTCATCGGCAAACCTGCTGAGGGCGCACTCAATCCCACTGTCCATGTCAGCGACAAAGATGTTGAACAAGACCGGTCCCAACACCGATCCCTGAGGGACACCACTCGTTACTGATCTCCAGCTGGACATTGAGCCATTGACCACAACTCTTTGTGTGCAGCCATCCAGCCAACTCCTTATCCACCGAGTGGTCCATCCATCAAATTGATGTCCCTCCAATTTAGAGACAAGGATGTCATGTGGGTCAGTGTCGAGTGCTTTGCACAAGTCCAAATAGATAACATCAACTGCTCTACCCCTGTCCATCAGTTCTGTAGCCCCATCATAGAAGGCCACCGAATTGGTCAGGCAGGACTTCCCCTTAGTGAAGCCGTGCTGGCTGTCACCGAGCACCTTGTTGTTTTTCATGTGCCTTAGCATGCCTTCCAGGAGAATGTGCTCCAAGATTTTGCCAGGCACAGAGGTGAGACTGACTGGTCTGTAGTTCCCCGGGTCATCCGTTTTCCCCTTCTTGAAAATGGGGGTTATATTGCCCTTCTTCCAGTCATCGGGAACTTCACCTGACTGCCATGATTTTTCAAATAGGATGGCCAGTGGCTTAGCAACTTCATTCCTAGGCTGAGGACAAATCTTAGGGAATCACATACATTCCTGAGATTGGCAGCATGTTCTCAGCTCATAGATGTAAACAACCTCCCTGACTCTTGCATGCATTAGGACAATACCTTAGACCTCTTTGCAAATGCACGCAAAAAACTAGAAGGTTGGCTGAACCTCCAGCAGCAACGCTTGGCAGCAGTGCTCAGCCAGCCCTCCCTGTGGACACCCAGACCTTGTTCACATCTGCAGCACACACTCCCCTGTTCCTCCTAAGTGCACTGCTATAACTTCTCATGCTGCCAGGCAGTGAGTCTGATGTGGGAACCAGGCCAGGTTAAAAACAACTCCGCCTGAAGAAAAATAACACTTGGTAAAGAAACTGTAGGTGAAACCTCGCTTGTGATTCCCTCAGCCTCTTACTGAGGTAGTAGAAAGAACATGCTGTTACTGGAGAGGGAGTGTGCAATGACTGGTAATGCGAGACAGGTTTAATTTAATACTGAGAAATAAAAGGAGAACATCCAAAGGGATAAAACATAAGCAGGACAGACATTCCACAAAGTCACGCTGGGTGACATACCTGCAGCATGGATGAGGCCAATCCGCACACCTTCACTGTCGGCACAGGCTGTCCTGAACTCCAGCAGTGCAGAGTGAGGTCCGGGAGGAGTTCCAGCTCTGATTCAGTGGTTTGCTTTGGGGCTTGCAGCCCAGAAGAACGCTAGATCTCTTTGTCACCCGAGGGTTGGTGAAGCTGTGCCCAGAAGGTGCGCCCCATGCACACAGTGGGTGTTACTGTCTGGAAGCAGTATCTGCATTTATCTCAGTGTCTCTTCCACTGCCGAGAAAACTTACTGTCACAAGTCTGTTTGTTAGCTTGTATGTTCCTACGATGTGCCCTGTTTTGTCCATGAGCTGTTTGGGTGCTGTAGATGCCTTTTAACATCTGAATTCAATTCAGCAGCTTGGAAGCGTGCTTCCTTCCTACAAGAACCATTGGCTCAAATGAGCAGGCCTGAGATATGCTTTTAGGATTTATCATTTTCCAGTTTTGGAGTCTCCTTGACTTCACCTGCACTGAAGCCACAAATCATTCTCATAGACATGCTCGTGAGTGCTCCTGACATGCATAATATCAGCCACGATGAGGAAAACCTGTCTGAAGCCATTTTTAGCCTCCAGTTCCCCAAAGAGTGCTGCACAGAGATTTCCTGGCCCAGCTCTGCATTTCAGGGGCCTTTGCTAGCATCCTGCGGACAGTGTGAGGCAGCTTGTGGAACAGACAAGCACTGACATCATGGAGTGATAAGTACAGCATAAAACCTTGTTAAAACTCAATTCCTGGCTGAACAGTGATGTTACAGTCCCCATTTCTCTTTTCTTGATTCATCAGCAACACCCACATCCGCACCTGCTTGAACACAGGCCTTGTTGAGTGTCGTTGGTTTAAGCCCAGCCTGCAACCCAGAACCATGCAGCTGCTCGCTCACTCCTCTCCTTGTCCTCCTGCCACTCCCAGACGGATGGGGAGGAGAATCAAAATAATATAATTCCCATGGGTTGAGATAAGAACAGTCCAGTAACTAAGGTATAACACAAACCACTGCTGCTACCACCAATAATAATAATGATAAGCAAGATAACAAGGGAAGAGAATACAACTGCTCACCACCCGCCGATACCCAGCCCGACCCGAGCAGCGATCTATCTCTTCTGGGTAACTGCCCCCAGTTTATATACTGGGCATGATGTGCTGTGGTATGGAATGCCCCTTTGGCTAGCTTGGGTCAGGTGTCCTGTCTCTGCTTCCTCCCGATTTCCCCTCCTCCCTGGCAGAGCATGAGACTCAGAAAGTCCTTGGTCAGAGTAAACATTACTTAGCAACAACTGAAAACATCGGTGTTGTCAGTGCTATTCTCAGGCTGAAAGTCAAAAACACAGCACTGCACCAGATACTAACAAGGAGAAAAATGACTGCTACTGCTGAACCTAGGACAATGAGACACTTGACTCCGCGATATGTGAGACGCCTTCCTTGGCTGGAAGATGCTGGGTAGTAGTGAGTCTTTACCTCACTCTAGTCTACCCTGGGGATGAGTGATGGTTCTTGGCTGTCACCACCTGCGCTGAGGAGCTCCAGTTTGGAGCCAGTGGATGCAGTAGAAACAGATTCTGGCTCAAACCATTCCCATCATAGCATGAGGTAGGAGGCGGCAGGAGGTGTGTGCAGACTGGCAAAAAGCAGGGCCTGGGGAGGTGGGTGTGAAGAGACACTGACACCTGCACAGTCAGCACAACAGCTCTTTCTGCTTCTTTGCATTCTAGGGTCTGGAGTGCTCCTGGGTAAGCCGCATTCCCGTTGGACACACATCGCTCCCTGCTGCTGTTAGACCTTTTGAACAGCATTTTATAAACACAAAACACCAGCATGTGCTGCTGCCAGCCACTCAGAGCTCCAGCAGGGAACTAATTCATTTCTATTTAATGCTGGGTGTGATTAAACCAGCTAGAGAGTAACCCCCTTCAAACACTGACTGCAAGGAGGCAGGACACAAGCACCCAGAGCCACCCCACACCCATGTCCCTGACAGCGGCACTGGCAGGCCGCAGGAGGCCCGAGAACGGCTGTGAAGGGCTCGCCGCCGCCTTTCAAACTAACGCCGTGTGGCCACAAGGCCTGTCCGCACCGCGACCTCCCCAAGATGGCGGCTCCTTGAAGCGGTGGGGTGATCACGTGGGGCCGGAGGTAGGGGGTGGGATCTCGGCGCGTCAGCCGAGCGAGATCACGTGACCGATAACCGGCCCCGCCCCTCGCCCCTGCCCCACTGCTCCGGGCGGGGCTTGCACCGGGTCCCACCGCAGGACCTTTCCTTACAGCGCCGGCCCGGAGCCCCGGGGAGGGGTAGAGCCTATCCGCTGCCTGCCCCCCGGAGAGGGGCTTCTCCGGCACCCCCCGCCCCTCACCGGCTTCCAGTTCCCGCGGCAGCCACTCGCACCTGAGCAGCGGCCTTGCCCCAGTGGCCGCCCCGTGCCCTCCCTCCCCTCACCCTCCCAACTCCAGCCGGTTCTCGGGGGCGCATTATGCCGTCCAACAAATCCGTCTCGGACGCACCCATCGTTCAGTTCACCAATTGCCGCATCCTGCGGAGTCATCTGCTCCAGAGGTGAGAGGGGCCGGAGCGGCGGGGCTTACCCAGCACCTGAGCGCCCGGGGGTCCGTTCCCAGCCCCTAGGGCTGCAGCATCCGGCGCTGCACCGTCCCCTGCGCCCTGCTTCCGAGGGGGACGAGGCGCGTGATGTGCAGCCCCTCTCTGCTCCCCTCATCCCCGCTGCCAGCCGCTCGGCCGTAGCCACCGCGGTGACGGGGTCATCCCAGAGCCCAGGCAGAGCTGAGCTGCCCATCCTGCCCTGGCAGGCACTGGCGAGCCTATGGTGCTCCTGGGACTGCTCTGCCCGACGGTGGCCATGGCCACTATCTGCTCTGTGTGCTCCACAGGAGCTTGGCCTCTGTGTAATTGTCCCTTCAGGGAGGACCTGTGGGTGCGAGAGGGCAAGATCCTCAACCCAGAAAAACTCTTCTTTGAGGAGAAGGGCTCTGCTGACATCCAGCTGGACTGTAAGGACAGCATCATCGCCCCAGGCTTCATCGACGTCCAGATCAATGGTACAGTGAAGCCACGTGCACTCGCAGAGGGGTGGGGGGTGCCAGATAGGTCCATCCCCCCAACCAAGTTCATTTAGCACAAGGAAGATGTGAGTCACCAAACTAATGGTAAAGAACAATTTTGCTCATGGTTGGTGCTGTCATGAAACTGATCCACTTTGTCTGGGTGGGGGTTTCAGCCCAGCTTTCCTCTTAACCTCATTTTTATGAACATTTTATCCTTCCCGTGCACTGGTGGGATACCCACCCTGCCAGGGTGTGGGAGGATAGTGCCGGGTTTAACCAACGGAACACACATTACCTGCAATAGCTCTTCCCTGAGGGTCTGGAGGGGCTTGTTCTATGGTAGCCTGTGTCAGATTACAGTGGGGAATCCTCAGATTTAGCTCTGCATCAGAATGAAAAGTTAATGCTTGCAAAACGCTGGGATGCTGTGGGAAAGGCACTTCAGGAGGACAGCGCTGGTTGGATTTGTACTCGCAGAGCCTTGCAAACATAGGGCTGAAGTGGTGGTGGAGCCCTTCGCTTCTGGTCTGTGCCATACACATGGAGCAGCTTGCTCCAGTCATGCTGCAGTTTCATATCTGTTTGGCTCATGGTGCAGGAGGCTTTGGGGTGGACTTCTCCCTGGCTACAGATGACTTCAAATCAGGGATTGACATGGTCAGTCAGAAAATCCTCTCCCATGGCGTGACCTCCTTCTGTCCCACCCTGGTGACCTCTCCTCCTGCTGTGTACCACCAGGTAAGTGACTTTCTCCCCTCATCCACAGGGGGATTAAGGGCTGAGGTTGGTACCAAGAGGTGAGAGAGTCAAGGCTGGGCCCACAGGGACTGGGATAGCTGCCCTGGGGGGAAAAGCCATTGGCGTGAGGAGCTGGACTCTACTCCTGGATTTCTTGCTCATAACCTTTGAGACAGTGATGCCTCCCAGGCCAGCTGTGCACATCAGAGCTTCTAGCTGACTTTTTTCTCTGTGGGCTGTGTTTGGCTGATGGTTCCAAGTGGTCCAGCTTCAGAGCTCTCTCTGGACCTGACATGTGGGTTGTGCTTTGGCAGGCTGGGGTGCTGTGCCTAGGGTGCCATGTCTGACAAACCCCTTTTCTAGGTTCTCCCTCAGATCAGTATAAGAAATGGTGGAGCCCACGGAGCAGGTATCTTGGGTAAGTGGTTTTGTCCCTCACTGTCTTCTCTCGTTCTACTCTAAGTAGGCAATTATCTTGTTAAGGGGAAAGAAGCTACTGTAGGAACAGCACAAATGGGGGCTGGAGCTCTTTTCATGGGAGGGATGGGTGGGCACAGACGACACCTGGAATATTGTGTTTGGATCTGGGGGCAACAACACAAGAGGGACATGGAGCTGTTGGAGCGAGTCCAGAGGAGGCCACGGAGATACTGCAAGGGCTGGAGCAGCTCTGCTCTGGAGCCGGGCTGAGAGAGCTGGGTTTGTTCAGTCTGGAGAAGAGAAGGCCTTAGAGCAGCTTCCAGTGCCTAAAGGGACTACAAGAAACCTGGAGAGGGGCTTTGGACAACAGCCTGTAGAGACAGGACAAGGGGGAATGGCTTTAACCTGACAGAGAGGAGATTGAGGTGAGCTCTTAGGCAGAAGCTCTTCCCTGTGAGGCGCTGGCACAGGTTGCCCAGAGAAGCTGTGGCTGCCCCATCCCTGGCAGTGTTCAAGGCCAGGTTGGACGGGGCTTGGATCAATCTGGTCTAGTGGAAGGTGTCCCTGCCCGTGGCAGGGGGTTGGAAGTGGATGAGCTTTATGGTCCCTTCCAAACCAAACCAGTCTGTGATTCTGTGATCCGCTTTTTCCCTCAACCTATGCCTGGCCTGTGAATGGTCTGTCATTGTACATGCTCTGCTTCAGCCCTTTTGTCCCTACGGCTTAATGGCAGTGGGGTGGCTGGGCTTGACTAGCTTCCAGCCCTGCATCTTTCTCTGTGCGGAGCTCAGAGTAACCTGAGCTGTGTGTTTTGCTGCAGGAGAATGGCAGGAGCTTGACTGGAGCAGGGTAAATGCATTAGGTTTCCTGGTCCTTGGCAGGGAGAGGACAGGTCATGGTTTTGTGTTCCTGTTTGGTCAGGGGCCCATCTGGAAGGACCGTTCATCAGCAAGGAGAAGAAAGGGGCACACCCAGAGCACTGCCTCCGCACCTTCGAGGCAGGTGCCTTCCAGGACCTGCTGGCCACCTACGGGTCCCTGGACTGTGTCCGGATTGTCACCCTCGCCCCAGAGATGAAGAGGAGCAGTGAGGTGATCCGGGAGCTCACCAAGAGGGGCATCTGTGTCTCACTGGGTAAGGGCTGGGGCAGAGGAGGCTTAGGGGGGGTTCTGTCTCCCTGCCCCAATTTTGGGGCTGTGGCATCTCTAATGGTGTCTCAGTGTTACTGGACAGGATGGGATTTTCTTTTCTCTGGCCTTTATGGAGGCGACAGACCTGTCACAAATGGTGTGACACAGTGTGGTGCTGTGAATCTGTGGCCCTTTTTTACAATAACAGCTGAAATTCATATTTATCGATTGAGGAGCCCCTGCTGTTGAACACAAGGTTGCATTTGGTGCTGGTCATACACAGGAAAGAATAGCAGTCTTACTTGAACAAAGACGTAATTGAGGATTGGTGACATGGAAAGGTTGAAACGTTGAAATTCCACTGCTTTAGGCCTTATTTGACAGGTGAAATAAATTTCCAAAGGTTACAGCTGAGTTTTGATAGCTCTGTTTTTCAACCAGAAGCACTGTAGGAGATCTCTCCCTCCACTATTTTGCTGGCCACTGACTTAAAACTGGCTGCACTTTTCTTGTCTTCTGTTTCACAAACTCTTCTTTGCATCAGATCATTGAAGAAATACCTTTAAAAGAAAAAATAAAGCCAAAGAAAAAGTGGGGCAGTTATTCAGGGTGAATTTCACCCTGACACATTAGACACCTCTGTGATGAGGCTGGCACCTCACAGTGAGGCATCAGAGTTGAGTCCTAGTGATGAAGCATCTTCACTCCTGCAAGGAAATAAATGGAGGTGGGTAGAGAAATCAGGTGTTGGTCTTTGTTCCCAGGTCACTCAGTGGCTAATCTCTCCCAGGCCGAGGATGCTGTGCAACATGGCGCTACCTTCATCACTCACCTCTTCAATGCCATGTTGCCGGTGAGTAGCTGGAGGCACTTGCCCAGCACTGTTATTGCTTCTGGTGCTTTCATCTCCTGCATATAAAATATGCATGGATGCATATTTTCCCCAGCTTGTTTTGTACCAAGTCTTGCAGTGAGGTTTCAGCACTGAAACTTTGGCTTCACAATTCTACAACCTGATCTAAAAGACTTGAGATTGGAGGAAATGTTCAGATTTGCCTCGTAAAGGACAGAGCGTTCAGCTGCCGGGCACTGTTTAATAGAGATGGCAGCTGCGTCCCCTGCCATGAGTCCTGGTGGTGCTCCATAGCTTGTCCTCTCTCCCTTCGGGCAGTTCCACCATCGTGACCCTGGGATCGTGGGGCTGCTGACAAGTGACAAGATCCCAGCTGGGCAGAGGGTCTTCTATGGCATGATCTCTGATGGCATCCACACCAACCCTGCCGCCCTGCGAATTGCCCACCGAGCCCACCCCAAAGGTGAGCCATGACGGGCCCACGCAGTGACACCAGCCATTGCCCACAAAGCACATGAGTTCTGTGGTGTGCTGCCCTTGCTGCCTGAGATACCACAGCCACAGGGGCTGATCCGCCAGCCCTTTTGCTTTGGTTGCATGTGGCTAGAGGCATCTTGGCCCCTCTCTGGGAGGGATGGTGAGGTGCAGTGCTCAGAGCTCAGCAAGATGAGCTGCAAAGCTAAGGCAGCCCCTTTTCTTGTGTCCCTCAGGCCTGGTGCTGGTGACAGATGCGATTGCTGGCATGGGACTGGCACCAGGTCGGCACACACTGGGGCAGCAGGTGGTGGAGATTGATGGGCTGAACACCTACGTTGCAGGTAAGTGTTTCTCGCTAAACAGCCAGGGACAGTGCTGGCAGTCATGCCTGTTCCTGGAGAGCTCTGCACACCTTGCAGTGCCTGTCAGAGCAGGGCAGCACTTGTGCCCCACCCTCTTGGGTTTTGGTGCCTGATGGCTCTGCAAGGACTTGGCCCTGGAGAGAATGAGACATCTCATAAAGAGGGGAAGTACCCCATCTTCGTGGGGTGAGGAGGAATCTTGCAGTTCATAGCTGTCTGCAACACCTTTGAACACTGTCATGGACGCCAGAGGTTCCAGTGGGATCAGAAAGGACAGAGAAATCCTACACGTACTTATTGTCCCTTATCTTTACTGTAACACGACCACTCTTTCTAAGTTCCCCAAGTTGTAAGCAGTTGGAAACTGGGAAGGTATTTCAGGAAGGATCATTCTCGGTGTCCTTCCGCTGTCTCTGGCAGCAGATGCCTGTGTTGTATGCTAGTTTCACCTGGTCCAGCTGGTCTCACAGTGGAGCTGCGGGGGGACATCCCAGTACCTCTTCCTGCATTGCCAGCATGGGTCCTTTCTTGCCGCCTTGTGTCACTGGGCAGCAATGGCTGAAGGCCCTTCAACTTGCTTCCTGTGCAGTCCAGGATTTCTACCCCTTCTGGTCATGTTATACCTTCCAGCCACTCCACTTCTCCTTGCTATGAGTTGTGGGACCTGCTCAGCCCTATCCTGTTCCTCTCCCAGGCACAAAGACCCTGAGCGGCAGCGTGGCGACCATGGACACATGTGTGCGGCACTTTCAAGAAGCCACAGGTAAGTAAGTGTTGTCCACAAGCTGCTGCTCCCTACCTTGACATGGGAAGAGGTCTCTCTCTTGCCAGCTGTGTCCACTCCACCAGGCAATGTTCCCTCTCACCTGAGACATGATGAGAAGGGCTGGGATCAGCAGCACTGTCCTCGGATGAGCACCTTTTTTTGGTGAGGGTTCATTTTAACCCATAGCACTGATGAGAGGTGAACCCTCCTGTGCTTTTCTCCCCTTCCCATTCCCTAGATGTTCAGTTCTCCTCTTCCTTCTATCTCCCATAGGGATGTTTCCCCTCCCCAGCTCCATCCGCTGTGGGCAGGGTGTTCCAGGTCAGGTCCCTGCCAGGGTGACAGTTTCCTTAGCTGTGGGGGTTCAGGCTGCTCTAGCAACAGGTCTGTTTGCTGCCCTAATGTCTCCCCCTTCTCTGTCCAAGGGTGCTCAGTAGAGATCGCGTTGGAGGCAGCATCTCTGCATCCTGCCCAGCTGCTGGGGATTGAACACAAAAAAGGGACACTAAACTATGACTCCGATGCAGGTACTGGTGTGGGAACTGCAGGTACTGGTACAGGGACAACAGTGTGAGGGCTCGTGGCTGCTGGGGCTGCTGCAAACATATCTTCATCTCCTGCTTCAATGGGAGATGCAGGGAGACTTGCTCTACCTGGGATTTGCTCTGGGCTTTTGCTTCAGGGGTGTTTCCCTTGGGTGCTGGTGTTGTTTTGTGAGCCCTTTGGTGAGACCCCATTTCTCAGCCAACATGGAGCAGAGCTGCCATTGCAAGGATGGCACCATGCCGATGTCCTGCTGCCTTTTGTGGGGTGGGGGGAATCTCTTCCCTGCTGAGCCCAGCTCTTCCCAGCCAGCTTCAGCTGCTTGCTTTCTCTCTCACCCGATGCAGATTTCCTGATGCTGAATGACGATCTGTATGTGCAAGCCACGTACATCGCAGGCGAGGAAGTCTGGAGACAGGATGCATTGGGCATGTGACGCTGGGCTGTCCCAGTGCCCTCCAGGCTCCCTGGCACTGTGGTAGCAGCTGGGGCAACCACCCCACTTCTCTCTTTTCTTCTTTTGTTTTTTTTAATTCCTTCCTGCAATTCCCTTAAAGGAGCCTCATACCAAAGAGCTGCATTTTCCAGCGCAGCCACTGCTTCCAGTTACAGCCATGCCTGCACCAGATGTGTTGCTGCTTGGTTGGTAGTGTGGGGAGAGCAGGCAGATCAGTGCGGGGGGTTCTGCCAGGCCCTGGAGTGACCTGAAGGCCTGCACAGTTGTCCTGCATGGTGTCCCTAGATAGAGGTGCTCCTGTCACCATCTCACAGCAGTGTGAAGCTGTCCCAGCCGCAGTGTGAAGCTGTCCCAGCCTTTCCACTGTTTTGTAGAGCACACACTAACCTGCCCTTGTGCCCGAGACAGGCTCAAGCCATTTCCATTCCCCTGCCTGCTCTTTGCTTGCTTCCAGGCAGCCACAGCTGGTTAGACATCAGCTTCCACCAGCTCAGCTCTCAGCTCTTCATATTAAAAGGTTCCTTTTGTGTTAACAGAAGTTGAGGATCACATTCTGTTGCCCCGGCAGTCCCTCTGCCATGTATCCTCAGAGCAAGGCTGTCGCAGCTTGCAGACTTTGTGCTCTTGTGGGGCTGTGAATCCATATGGGCTGAATCCTCAGGACAGAGGTCAAACCCAGGAAAAATGAATCATTGCTGGTCCTTTGTGCCTTTCCCCTTCATGGGCACTGAGTTCACAGCACGTGATTTCAGCTGGAGACATGGACAGAATCCTGCCACAGAAGGCAATGTTCCTTTTAACCCCTTGTTCTGGATAGATGGGTTCTGCAGGGTCTGTGCTTAGCCCCTGATGGGGCTGTGAATCCTCAGGTCACAGACAGGAAGTTTTACTTCAGGGGACGCATCCAGATTGATGCTGACAGGCACACGAGCTCTCAGTCCAGCTAAGGGACAGAAGGGAGGAGAACTACACTTGGGTTCTGGCATTTCAAGGCAGCTTGTGGTAGCTCATTATTCCCATGTTCATTATTATCTTCTCCAGTGTCTGGCTGTCAGCTCTTTTCCTGACACTTGGCCACTTCTGTGTGAAGACTGTTGTTGATTTCAAACCTACCATAGTCAGAACAGCCTTGTGATAGTTCTTGGACAACCTCTGGACAAGTCTCAGACCAATTAGATGGGTTTTGTATGAGGGGAGGGCTTAGACAAGGGCTAAGTTTTAGCAAGAGTGGAGGCTGTAAGGCAAGGCAGGAGCCTGGTCAGGATGGGCAGAAGTGTGCCCATTTCTCCAGTACATTTTTGTAACCTTTAACAGCAACATTTGGAAGTGCTTTCCTCACACTTAGAGCCTTGCTGGAATAACTGGCAGCCTTGGAGAATTTCTAACATCAACTGCCAATGTCAGCAGAAATTATAACCTCCACGATGTGAAACATTTGAAAGAAACATCAAATGCTGTGCTAGGAAACATGACCTGCCACAGCATTACATATCCCCAAGAGGTCATTTTGGGCTGCTGTTGGGAAAAAAAAAAAAATCCAAGGGGAAAAAAATGCATATGAAACAAGGTGTCTATTTTTTTTTAATTATTATTTACAAAATTAAGCAACTGAAAGGAAATCTAAAATAGAAATGGAATTAGACAACACTTGTACCTGTCTATTGCCCTCTTTTGGTCTGCTGAAGGTACGCTGTACCCTGTGTTGTATGGTGGTGTGTCAGGGTGGGATGGGTGCTGCTATCCCAGGTCCTCTGCACCTGGGTGGGCATGCTGCTGAAGTGGCTGTGGGATTTGGTCCATGTAGGGAGGCCAGAGCTGGACAGTGGTGTCCTGGCACTGGAAATGTATCATGGAATGGTTTGGGTGGGAAGGCACCTTAAAGTTCATCGAGTTCCAACCTGCCACGGGCAGGGACACTCTCCACTAGACCAGGTTGCTCCAAGCCCAGCCCTACCCGGCCCAGCAGCTCCGCGTGGGGCTCAAGAGACAGGAGGCCAGCTGGGGGTACAGATGCACCACCGAGGCTGGAGCTCGGCTCATCCGGTCCCCAGCCGCTCCGCGCCTCGGCACCTCTGGCCTGCCTCCAGCCCGTCCCGCGATGCAGGCCCCACTGAGGGCAGAGGAAGGCCGGTGGTGGCCCACGGCGGGGCCTGTCCCCTTCCCTACCGGCGGGTCCGGGCCGGGGACCGGGCCCTGGCCGAGGAGGACGCCGCTTTCCCCTGGGCGAGGTTGCGGAACGAATGCGAGGGGACGAAGGAGCGGGCGGATCACAGCGAGGGGCGGTATTTGGGCGGTGCACGGGGGCCTCTTCTTTCGCGGCTTCACCCGCGGCCCTCGGAGGCTGTCTTGAGGACTGGGCTCCAGTCGTTGGTGCTGGGCCCTGCCAGGGTGAAGCTCGACCCCGGGAGCCCACATGCTGCTGCTGGCCGGAGGTGGCCCGGAACCTCCGGCATGGAGCAGGTAAAGGTTTTGCTTGTCCCTGCTGCCTCAGGCGCATCTTGCCCCGGTGCTTCCCGGGGTCCAGGCTCTTCTCCAGCCGCAGCTCTGCCCACAGCTCCCGGAGGCTCTTTAAAGCGCTTTCCCTGGCACTTGTGCCGCCTTTCCCAGTTCCTGGTCACCTCTGTATCCCGCTAAGGCAGGATTGTTGCTCACTTCCTAATGTGCCGTAAGGAGTGTCTGGTTCACTGGCGGGCTTCTAACCCTTGCTTTGCTTAGCAGGAGGCAGAAGGGGTGTAAATACAACATTCTGGAGGATTTGTGTTCAGCATAAAGATAAATTCTGTGTACTGCCAGCTCTGTGCTGGTGGGAATTTTATACTGCATTCTCTCCTTTTCCTTTATTCTTTTTCCATGTTCCCATCTAATGGCTCGTTGTTCAGTTCTGCTACAGCTCTGCTTTTGTTTTACAGACTTAATGAAATTATGGCATAGAATAAGCTTCAGGAAAAATGAGAAATCTTCCATTGGGGCCTTTAAAAAGGGTAGAGTGGGGAAACAACCAACCAAACACCCCTAAAACCAAGAAAATAATCAGGAAGTCCTGGTTTGCCATGAGGGGCTGGTTTACTGCTAGTAAGAGTTGTTGTCTCTAATTTTTGAGATAAAGAGGGCTCATTTGGTGCCCTCTAGGGAGAATTGTAGAGCATTTGTCCCACCCTGTGCTATGTTGATTTATGGTATAAATTGAACTGTGACACGACACACTTCAAGCATAAAGCTGGAAAAGAGGTTAATGACTCATTAGTTTGATCCCCTATAAGAGGGGAGAGGAAAAACTCCATTTTGGAATCAGTTTTGCAAGCGAGAGATTCATGCTTCTTTTAAACACTGTGCCTTCCCATGTCCAAGGGTCCCCAGCGCACTTTCCAAGAGAAGCTGCAGTGGTGCATTTCACAGCTGGAGGCAAATCTTCGCCTCAGCCCAACCCCCAAACAAGGTATGTTGCCTCCTTAACAGTCCACAGCCATATCCTAACCTCTGACCTGGGTGTTTTCCTGTTTCTACTGTTTCCTATTCTTGTGTTATATGGGATTTTTTCTAAATACAAAATAACATAAAGCATTGAACTTAAGATTTGTCTGTCTGGAAGCAGCTTATCTTTTATTCCTGTAACATTAATCTCTGTTTTATTTATTCTTACTCATGTTCCCTTCTAATGGCTCATTGTTTGGCTCTGCTAAAGCTCTGCTTTTGTTTTGCAATTGCAGTGCAATACTGTGTCAGTGCATCTGGCCCTTAAGCACCAGTAGGTTTATTTCTGTGAAGCTTGTTCCTCATTGTTCATGTTCCAAAGACAAAGTACACAAAAGATAAAATCCTATTAAATCATTTTCAGAAGAAGTTACATCTGGTCAGTTCAACTTGTAAATGTATGAAGACATATATCCTGCTTCTGCTGATGGCTGGTAGTTAACATTTAGAGGAGTGGTGTGACTACCCTTTGTAAGGTGCCAAGGTGAGTGTTTGCTGGGGCACCCAAGGTTATAGCAGTGATGAATTCATGCCCACACACCAGGCTTGACCGTCGGACCATTTTGTTACACCTGTGTCTTGTGCTTGGTGCCTAGTGTCCAGCAGCAGAGGGGAAGGATGAAACTTTTTCTAGCTCTTTCTCTGTAGCAGCTCTTAATAGGGAGCAGGCCTTGAATACAGCCAGTCAAACCCCTTGAAAGTAGGGGGAAATGTGTACTCAGGACCCTGACACCCACTTTAATAGGTGGCTGCAGCCCTGCTGTGGCACTTCTCCCTTGCACTTGTGTGTCATTACTCTATCTCTAGCATGGGACTCACTGTTGAGTTTGGAAGATACACCTCATTTGGAGAGTTCCAGAGAGGTGCACTGCAGCCAGGGGAGATGGGGGGATATCCATTCCAAAATACTAGTTGAAGTACATCAAGCTTTTTTGTGGCTTGAAATGTGTGAGACAAGCACTAGAAGACTCTGCATATCTGGAGTTCTGAAAACAAGAAGTTTTGGGAACAGCTATGCCTTTTAGAGAATTGCTCTGACTCACAGAATTGGGATTACTGTTGTGGTCAGAGTGGTTCATCTGAGAGTCAAGCAAGAGTCATCCTTTTCAGGGTGTGCTCTGTACTCAGATTTTTCCCAGTTTTCCAGAGAAGAGACACCAAGCTAGGCTCTTGGATTTGTCAGTGGCTTTGGGGGGAGGGTTGTTGAGCCCTGTGTAGCTTCTGTGCCATTAGTAGCACACCTTCTGCAGTTTAAGATTCTTGCTGTATATAATAAGCAGTTAAAATCTACTTATTTACACATACACACCCCCACACCCTTTAAGAACATTTCATGATATTCCAGCTTCTAGAAGCACTTGGAGTTTTCTTTCAATTGAATGCCAGTCATGGATTAGTCAGAGGTGGTATGAACACGACACATTCAGAGGAGACCCAGTCATCAGGATCCCACAGTGTGGTGTGTAAGGCCCACTATAACTTGCCCCTTGCCTCTCTTTGTCTTTTTCTTGAGTGCAGCAGAGGAGACCCAGTGCATTCTCAAGGTCCTGCGCTCCCGTGACACCCCTTTTGCAAATAAGCAAGAAGTGATGAACCACGTGTTTGAGGATTATCACCTCAAGATGGCTGACGATCAGATGTACATGGGCAAAGCAGGTGAGCTTCAACTGTCGGGTGATGGTGACATTTGGTTCTTTTCTGTTGATTTCTTACATTGCAGCTTATAACTGGATTTTCTCTCTGTGGCTGTGTCTTACAGAGGGAGTTGCAGTAGCAGTGGCATCCCCACAGTAGGAAACTGGCAAGTTGATAGAAACGTTATGCTTTCTTTCCTAGACATGAAACCTGTTGATGTGGAAGTACAGCAGAGCAGTGGACAGGCTTCAGATAGTGTGGTGCATGGAGAACAATGTGACCAAATCTCCAAGGCAAAGCCAAAGTGGTTTATGTCACCTGACAACAGCTTCCGATTTGATTTTACACTTTCTGACAGCGACCCAGAAGCAACTGGCACACCTCTGGAAACAGTCCCTGATGTCAGTGGTGATGAGCAGATACAAACCAGTGTTGGAGCCACTGAGCAGAACTGGAATGGAGCCTCGAGTTTTGCTGCCTCTGGACAAGAACCCAAGTTTGCTTTCAACTTTTTCATCACTGATGAAGACTGTCCTCTGAGTCAGTTAGTACCAGCAAGCCAACAGACAGACTGTACAGCAGGTCATGAGGTGCTGGGTAATTCTCTGCTTGATGAATCAGCAGGTATGCCACAGTTTGCAGCCTTGCAGAAGCCTGAATTGACTCAAACTACAGGTAGTTCACCCAAAGAGGATAGAAGCCATGTCACATTAAAGATCCCCCAGTCAGAGACTGCTCCTGGAGATGAGCCAGTGGCAGAGAAATCAGCAGATGGAGGTGCCCAGAAGAAAAAGAAGAAACAAAAAACATCTGTCAGTAAAAAGGAGATAAAGGAAACTGAGATCAACAGGAAGACAAAGGCAGAAGCTAGCAGATGTCAAAATGCAGGTACTTCCTACCAGGATGAGACCTCTCAGGTATTTAAATATTAATGGGATCCTGTAACTTATAAACCCTTGAGCAAAAGAGAAGCTTCATCTCTTTGTATATTTAACAGTCAGTGTAGTGGCTTGAGAGAGAACCTGACAGACCAGGGTTGCTGCTTGTTTCTTACAGCAGCTGTTTTATTTCTCTGCTAGGCAGCTGAAGAACCTGATTAGTTGAGAAGAAGTTAATGGCCCTTTGTTGTCTGCTTCGGGCTTGTGCTGAAACATTTCATGTTTAAACTTCTGATGGCTAATCCTGTGAAGCTGGGTGCCACAGTTTCTTAAAAAAAAAATAGATGCAGCTCTCCTCAGTCAGAGCTAAACTGGTATCTGTGCATGCTGAACCAGGCACTGTACCCTGACTAGCATGTTACTGAGTAGGATGAATTGCCCACATAACACAAATAGCAAATCTGAGGTGCAGAGCTGTTGCCTGGTATAGCAGCAGCTATGGCAGGGTCTGGTGTGAAGCTTAAAGGTACTTCTGAGAAGATTCTTGTTGTAAGGCATGGCCAAAAATAGACTGAAGTTGTATTTGTGTAAACATGCCATTAAGGCGTTGTTTATGTGTAAACACGCCATTAAGGCACACCCCGAGGTTTGAGGTTTTCTGGTTTTCTGCTAAGGACCAGATCTTCACTTCATTCTTCTTTCCAGCACTGGTATAGTTATTATTAACAGGCAATGCCAGCTAAGTGATACTGAAATACGGAATTGCAAAACACTTGCTTACATTAACATTCTACACAGAAATAGCACTGAGTGGTTACCTGCCTCTTCTTGCATTCCATCCAAAATGCTGCTTCAACAACAACCCTACCAATAATCACAGCTGAGTACCAGGAAGGTAGGAGGTGATGGAAAGATAGAAAGGTGATTTAAAGCTCCTTCAGTCCATTGGAATGACACTGTTGTAAGGAAGAGGAGACAGCATGAATGTTTTTGTGTTTACATGTACATAACAGTTAATAATTGCTTCAGCCCCAGAGTGCTGCTCTTGTTCCTTCTCCCTGCCACTGCTCAGTTAGCCAACTGGCTTTGCTCACTGGGACTTGGCTTCTTTCATCTTCATGGGCTTCAGCCTCCTTCTCATGCATTTCTGGTTGTGCAAGCAACCAAAGCTTGGTGTTTCAGGAGCTGAAACACTAAGACTCAGCTTCTAATTTTGTCCACTGTTTGCTTTTTTTATTACGGAGGTTTGGGGCAGCTTTATTTTTTTTGTTAATGCTTATTCCTCCCACCTGTAAGTTGACTTGACAGCTTCTTTCAGAGGCCTGGAAAGCTTTCCAGAAAATAGCATTCTGATGATGCATCTAAATGACAGCCAAATATTAAATCCATGAAATAGAAGCAGTAAGTTGCAACTAAACATTTGTCCAGTGCTTTAAGTTTGTCCAGTGAAAAACACTATAGGGAAAAGTCATTAAGTTTGTAAAGTAATAACCAGAACATGAAACTTGGAATAGTCCTGCCTTTATGCAGATGCTTTTTTCCTGTGTAGCACCTGCTGCTCTAATTTTTGGATGTCATGCTTACTCTGCTTCATGTTGCATAGCAGTCTGGGGACCAGCTGTGGAAGGAGGTGGACTGGTGTGTGGAACAGCTGGAACTTGGCCTGAACACACAGAAATCTACTCCAAAGCAGGGTAAGCATTCCAGTGAATAAGAGATCTCCCCTGTGGGAAGGGCTGGCAGGCATGTTGGAGCAGAGAGCCACTGGGGTCTTAAACTGTGCCTTATTCCTCCTTTGGGTGCTTCAGTCAACGAGGCTCTCCATGCAATCAAGACATTGCGCAGTGACAAGGCTCCGCTGGTGAAGAAGCGTCAACTCATGAGAGCCATGTTTGGAGACTACAGGAAGAAGATGGAGGAGGAGCTGTGCAAAGAGCTGAAGCTCATGGAAGCAAGTAAGAGAACTTTGCATGATGGGGGAAGAGAAAATGAAAGTGCTTTGCCTTTCATATTGCTTTACAGAGTGGGGCCTTGCTATACGAGATGAGTAAACATTTTTCATTGCTCTTTGCTCCCCTCCTTGAGCTGTGAAATCTGCCAGAGTTGTGAAAGTGAAGAGAAACATCTGCAAGAAGAAAGGCCAGTTCATCCGGAAGTGCTCAGAAGCTTGCAGGAAAAGCCAAGATTCAGAAGGATGCCTTTCAGAGTCACCCGGGACACTTAACACAGGCCCATTCAAATTCACACCTTCCCAAGAAGAGTTTCGCTTTAATTTCTTGTAGGAAAGTCTAAAACTGTGGCTGAAAGCTTTGCCATATATTCTGTAAACCTAAGAATGGTGGAAAGATGCTGTGCAGTAGGAAACGTTACCCAAAAAACTCAGTCTTTTCTAAAGTAAGGTTCCTCTTTCAGAAGAAGGTTAAGTTTCTGTGAAGATTCAGCACAGAAGCATCCAGCTATAATGAATGGATAGTTGGATGCTTCCACTCCATGTGAGTCAATGCAGCCTCTGGTATCCAGAAAGCCCTGGGCAGTGTGTGTCATCACTGCCACCTAGAGTAGGAGTTCAGGGTCTTGGAGGAAAATGAGTGAGAATTGTCCTTGCTTGTTCATCTATTCAGTTGAACAGGTATAGACTTCGAAGGCAATTGCAAATGCTGCTTTAATCTAGCGTAGGGAGGGAAGGACAGTTGTTTCCAGACAGGGATAGATTTTTGTTGCTGAAGCCATATACTGGCCAGCTGGGAAGGCTCTTAAAAAACAAGTTTACTGGGTAAGTAGCCTGGTTACAATCACCAGTGACTCAGAGGCTGAATCAGCTGCATGCCAAAGCTTGGGTGGTGGTGAAATGAACTGAGAAAGCTCACTGACTCTTCTGCGTTGGATTTGTATTAATTTTTTGCTACCTGAACAGTTGAATGTGTCTCTCCACACAGTGGAGTTTCAGTGTTTCAATACTACAACCCATCTCCTGTTTATGCAGAAAATCTTCCTCTTTAAGCTTAAAAAAGCTGAAGGAACAGAAGTCCTACACAGTCCTGGTATCAGGTGTCCCTGGGTGCAGTGCTCTCCTTCCTTTTTATAGTCCAGTCATCCTGCCTGAGAGACAAGAAAAGAGAGTGTAGGCAGGTTCCAGGGTGTACTGTGAGCAGCTGAGATGGTGGAAAACGTTTGCTAGGAAAGGCTTCAAAAAACCTGATGTTGGCTAAAAAAAAAAAAAAAAAAAAAACAAAAAACTAAGCTCTGATACAGTTGGTTCCATGTGTAATATTTTTGTGTGTGCTTTAAAGAATGCTTGTCTAACATAAGGAGAAACTGAACGTGGGTAACATACGTGACGAGGAAAAATATGCAGAGAAAACTTTTAAGTCTTCTGGAAATCAGTAGGTGAGCAAATTAATTCTTTTGCTTGCCGAGGAGCACTGCTGGGACTTTGACTGTGTGGAGCAACACTATACTGTATTTTTTTTTTTTTATTTCCAGGGCCTTATATTACGCATGCAGAAGCTGTGTCATAAAACTTTGTGTTTTCATGCCATTTAGTAAGATTAAAAACCATCTTGTACATAACCTTGGATCTACAGTTCTCTTCTTTCCTAGCTGATTATGCAGCATAAGTCTGGGAAAACAGGTATTTTGTTCCTACCTTGTTTCAGGTCAATCATTCGCAGGAATGAAGTTTGCACTTTCTAGAAGTGTACAGTCCTTAGGATGGAGGAAAAGCAAAGCAGGCTCCTTTCTCCAGGCTTGTCCTAGCTGAGCACACAGAGAAATCTGTAGTGGCAATAGATAGGTTGACCAGGTACATCTGATACAGGATAATTATTTCCACATGAAGAATCCCAAGGTCATTATTCATATAAATTCCCATGGAGGTCAGTTGAGCAAGAATGTGAGGAATTCCCCAGACACAGAATACATAAGAGTATTTACAGTAAATTGCAAATATAATCAAGGTTGGATGATATACTTTGGAATCACTCTCTTACTAGCCATGCTGATCTTATTCCGCTCTTTTTTTTTCCCTTTACTTGGATCAGTTGCAAGTCAGCTAGTTGGGAAATCCTTTCAAGCAGGAAACTGCACAGCTAGTGTTGGTAAAATGTTTAACATCCTGTGCAGTGGAAGGCTGCAGGAGTATTCTGGGAAGCATTCTTAGATAATTGCCTTGTGATTATAGTATTTGTTAGGCTTTTACAACTAGAATAAAGAAACTGGTGAGGTGGACATTTGATGTAACCTAATCCAGCCGGTGTGTCTCCAAAGGGATCGGAGAAAAAAGCATTCTAACACATGAATGGCACCTGTGGCTTTTCAGAGGTCTTCACAAGATGCTGACCAGCCAGACCATATTCCTTTCACAGTGCTTCATTACTAGAGGACCTGGAAGGCAGTGTTAACCGAGGCAATGCTTCATAGCCCTGACTGCATCTGTGTGCAGGACCAGAGCCTGCTGGGTCAGTACACGACTGTGATCCTGGCCAAGGCATTTTGCCTTTCTGTTTTCATTGTTGAGGTGATGCCTTCTGCCTTTATGACAGACGTGCCCAAGTTATTTTATTAATCATTGTGTCTTGAAGAGGCAACTCTCTAGTATTTTTCATGTGAACTTATGGCAGTCTTAACGCTTTGCAATGTTTGAAGCATCTCTGTTGCATTATCATGTTTGAAAGGAAGCTGTTATTTGAAGTTACAAAATGCTGTCACTGCTCCATTTCTCTGTTTCCCTTCACAGCAGCCACAATGCAGTCTTAATGACATTTAAAACACCCCCAGTGTTCTCCCCTTTTAGCATTTCTTTATTTCAGATTTCAATGCTGGCTATGATTTCAGTGATGTCTCTTATTACAGCACTGTCAGGTTTGTGTCAGGGCTTTGCTCTATGAGTTACTGTAATATGTGTGGCTGGAGGTATGATCCATGCCTGAAGGCACTGATGGTGTACTGCAGTGAGGGAGAAAGGTGTTCTCATCTGCTTGGAGTGCTCCGTTCCAGTGCTCTTGCATTAAGGAACTGTAGCTCAGGTTTGGTAGAAAATTGAGCACAGTTCTGGCTTGCCTCTTTTTCTGCATTGTCTCTATTTTGTGCTGTGCATTTGGCATCGGCACCAAAAGGGTGACTGGATTTGTGGTACAATATCTCTTTGGTGACTGACCACCTAAATGCAGTGCAGCAGTGCCACACCCAGGCTTGTAGGCAGCAAACTGCTTGCAAGAAGTTCCAGCATGGTGGTTGTGATAACAGCAAGCTGGGTGGGAGTGCTGATCTGCTGGAGGATAGGGAGGCTCTTCAGAGGGATCTGGACATGCTGGATCGATGGACTGTGGCCAATGGGATGAGGTTTAACAAGGCAAAGTGCCATTTCTTGTGTTTGGGACACAACTCCATACAACACTCCAGGCTTGGGGAAGAGGGGCTGGAAAGCACCTGGGGGTGCTAATTGACCGAGCTGAACATGAGCAGCTTATGTCCAGGCAGCCAAGAAGGCCAACAGTATCCTGGCCTGTATCAGTAATAGTGTGGCCAGCAGGACCAGGGCAGTGACTGTCCCCCAGTACTGGGCACTGGTGAAGCTGCACCTCGAATCCTGTGTTCAGTTCTGGGCCCCTTATCTGTTCTGGGGACCTTATCGCACTCTATAACTGCCTGACAGGAGGATGGAGCCAGGAGATGGCTGGTCCCCTCTCCCAGGGAACAAGTGCTAGGACAAGAGGAGATGGCCTCATGCTGTGCCAGAAGAGGTTTAGACTGGATATTAGGAACAGTTTCTTTACTGAGAGGGTGGTCAGGCATTGGAACGGGCTGCCCAGGGCAGTGGTGGTCACTTCCTGGAAATGTTCACAAACCGTGTAGATGAGGCCCTCAGTGACATGGTTTAGTGGTGGCCTTTGCAGTGCTGGGGGAACGGTTGGACTTGATCAACCTGGTGGATTCTATGACCTCGGGAATGACCAAGACAAGGCAGAAAGGGGGTGTGAAGTACAACACTGCCCCTAGAGCAAATCTGGCTCAATTGCATTGGTCCTGAAAAAGTAAAAGCAGAGACTCAACTTCTAAGGTGAATGGGATGGGGGAATGGGGATGTTGTAACTTTTCTCAGACCATGTAGCAATGCATGGGAGAGGTCCTGATTTTGAGAACAAAGTGAAGAATTTTAGAGTTGTTTCTGTGGTGGGGTGAGCCCAAGAATATTTCTACATAGAGGCAGCAGAAATCTGGGTGTGATCTCTGCTCTTAGGCTTGGCACCCTCATCTGTAAACAGATCCCCCAGCAAAGGTTAGGAAAGGCAATGCCCTTCCAGGCAGACCCTGCCACTGGGGGGGAGCAGACAGTGGCAGCCCTGCTTGCATAGCTGCTCATCTCTGCTTACATTTCAGCTGTCAACCTGGATGCTGGGCACCAATTGGTAAATTCTTTCAACCCCTTCCCTTGGGCTTGGTCAGTGGGAATGATTTATTTGTCTCTGTGCTGCCTATCTTCTGCTTTAGGTTATGGGGGAGCAGAGTCACTGAGGCTACAAAGGATCTCCAAGGGATCCCCATGAAGCTCAGCTGAAATTACCTTCTGAGTCCCAGAAGCTGCCTCTGTGAGGACTCCCTCTCCCAAGACCAGCAAGGACAGAAGGAAACCAACAACAGATTGGTCCTACTGAATCCCTAAGTCAGGTGACTAATATTCCTTTTTGGTACTTAAATTTGTTGTAAGAGTGCTAAGGGTAGAGTGTGAACTCGGCGTCTAATGACCCCTAAAGGGTAAAATACTCTGTTCTCTTCCTTTGGGGAGGAAAACCCCAGTCCTAACTTCTCTTTTCTTTGAATTAGAAAGAAGAAAAGCTTGCCACTTCAAGCAAGACAACAGTTTGAATACTGTAACAGAAGGAAAGTTATTTGAAGAGAATAGACATTGAACCTGCAGTTCCTTAAGCAAAAAAATAGGAGAGATTCTGCTATTTTAAGATCATTTGGAGCTGTGACAGATGATCTTGTATTTTTCTGCTAAAGTTATTTTACTTCAAGGACAAAGTTTTATTTTCTTTGTTTAATTTTTTTTTTTTTTTTTTGCTGCTCACAGTTTATGCTGCTGTCCTATTTAGAACTGTGGGAAGGTTTGTAAGCCACACTGCTTTAGAAAACATAGAAAATCAATTACCACAGTGCTTTGATTGCTGGCAACAGTCCTTCCTGCTGATGCTGAGGGCTGGGAAGCGCTGAGCACCCACTGTGCCTGGCTCATCTGTCTTCTTCCCTCTGAGTACATCAACAGGCACTACTAGCTTCTTGGTATCTCACCAGACAAGATGGAAGAAGTCTGGGTTGTGTATCTCTGCCTGATCTTGCTTATCATAGTGCTTCTTCTAATGAGACATAACCCACACATGGAAGAGGCCAAGAAGGAGAGGGAAAGCAGGAGCCCCCCACCACCCTCCTCCTTTGTCCCCAGTGATGTCGGCAAACAACTGGAGCACAGCCAGGAAGAGCTGGAGCACTATCTAGACAGGCTGACCCACGTCTTGTTTGCCACAGAAGCCAGGAAAAGGGATGGCCACCACGATCAGAAGTCACATCATCACAGAAGTGCTGATGTTATGTCTGAAACTAAGGAGCGTTCAGGAAAGGAGGCAGCACATGCTCAGTATCTGTCCAGCTCCATGAGGGTTCAGGTATGAGGCTTACAAAAAACTTTCAGACTCAACCAGACTTAGAGGTCCTGGCTGAGGTAGAAATGAAATGCACAGTTCATGAACTTTGATTGGGAGTGGGGGAGGGAAGTCTCACTGTTTCAAAGGATAATACATTCCTATTTTTGCACTATGTATTTCAACATTGAGCAATCATCCAGAGACAGCTCTATGTGACATGCGTTGTATGTGTGTTATGTATGTAAGATGTCAGTGTTGGCGTTAGCATCTATGCACATCTTTATGTAAGTGTATTATCTTTCTGTATTAATAGAAATAGGTGTTGTTTCTTACTTCAAGAAATCCTTGTGCAGCTCTTCAGCTGCTCTTCAGCAGAGATTTATCTTGACTCTGCCCACAGTTTCCCAGCTCGAGGTCTGGCCCAGGAGCTCTGCAGACACTTGCCTAAAGTTAACTCCTGGTATCGAGCCCTGGAAACATGACGTGTTTCTGCTGTGCACCACAATCATGCATTGTGTACTCTGTAAACATGACAGTCACTATTGCCAACCTGCAAAATTCTCTTTGCCTTGGCCAAGGCTCGTTTTTAGGGGCTGGAACACGACTCATGCCTTTATATTTTTATCATTATCCTCATTGCAATATATCAGATTTTGCCCTTCAGATGACAGAGGTTCATGGCAGCCATGCAGGGCCATGTTACTTTATGCTAGCAGCTGTTTATGATCTTCATTCTTGAGACATGTATCACACAGGGCCAGTGCCCTGCTCTGCCACCAAGCACACTCTAGGTCCAGGTGAGAGCTCCAGTACAAAGCCTCATGGTTAGAGGGGAGAGCC